TGGGAGACTGTGTCGAAGGCTTTGCTGAAGTCCAGGTATACAACATCCACAGCCTTTCTCTCATCTACCAGGCGGGTCACCTGGTCGTAGAAGGAAATCAGGTTGGTTAGGCAAGACCTGCCTTTCATGAACCCATGCTGACTGGGCCTGATCCCCTGATTGTCCTCCATGTGCCTGGTGACCATACTCAAGATGAACCTCTCCATAATCTTCCCCGGTACAGGCTGACTGGTCTGTAGTTCCCCAGATCCTCCTTCCAGCCCTTCTTGAAGATAGGCATCACATTTGCCAACCTCCAGTCATCTGGGACCTCCCCTGTTATCCAGGACTGCTGATAAATGATAGAGAGTGGCTTGGCCAGCTCCTCTGCCAGCTCCTTCAGCACTCTTGGGTGGATTCCATCCGCCCCATAGACTTGTGGATGTCCAGGTGGCATAGCAGGTCAAAGACTGCTTCCTCCTGGATTATGGGGGGTTTATTCCACTCACTGTCCCCATCTTCCAGACCGGGAGTCTGGGTACTCGCAGCTGAGTAGTAACTTCCTTGACAATGTAACTCCAATTCATTAAGTGATTGTGGGGAGGAGGGGACATTCATTTGGTAGCACATCTTTCCATGTGAAGACAAGGAAAGAAGGGACCCATAGCAATGGAAGGAATAAGGCTGCTGGAATTTTCCAGCTCAGAAGCGTTTTATCTCATGTAACTTTCTTGTAGTAGTTTGGTACCAGGCTTAACCATGCAGCTTTAAAACAGGCCAGATTAGCCTGTAGGTTCATGCTGTTGTGCTATAGTGTCTTGCAGGGCAGAAGGCAGAGACAGAGGCTATCAAGAAAACACTGTACACAATGTTCAGCTCCTTAGCTGTTTGGGTTTTTTTCCCCCAGCTTGGACTGTCTCTGCTTGGCATCCAGCAGGATTGCCAAATTGGGTTGGTTGGGGTTTTTTCTCTCCCTGATCTTTGTGCCATAGTCTAAAGAGATGACAGGGAAGAATGCTCTCACGTGGAACTAGGCTTCTGAATTTCCCATTCCCATTACCTTGGGTTTCGCGATTACCCACTTGTGACACGAGCTGCAAGCTCAGCAAACCAGTTCAGGTATGTGGCTGACAGATGAAAGCAAGAGGCTGCATCATGTTCTGAAGGTAACTTTAGTAGGGTCTTTAAAACTTCAGCTTTTCTTTGGGATGCCAGCTCCTATGTTAGCAAGCTTTATATAATTTAGCAGGTTTTATATAATTTACATATCTGTAACAATTAATGATTATTTTACTGTTTGCTGAAAACCTTGGGAAATTAATGTGTGGAAAGATAGATTGTCTGATCTGAAAAAAAAATTAAGCTTATTTCCATATTAATACAGATGGTGGTAAAAATCTGCAAGAATCAAGAGGAATTATCATTTTAACATGAGGAGGTAAACCTAGAAATAAGAGAGGAAAAAAAGTTTAAAAAAAAAAAGGAGGGAAGAAGCGGCCAAAATTGGGAAAAAAGCTGAACTGGATTTCTTACGCTTAATCCATATTGTATAAATGCATACAATTTCAGATACAACCCATAATCTGTTACATACAAATTCATAAATGAATGCTGTATGCATACTTCTTTTGTCTGCTCTCAGTAATGAATCAGATCCAGTTCTTGGTGGGTCCCCAAATGAACTGTAATGATCAATACAGTTGTTCTCTGCCAGATGATACAGACAGAGATCGTTTTACTCCAGAGTGGAAGATAAGCTGTATAGATCTATATCCTATTATATATATGCTAACCCTATTCTGTGTAGTTCTCACATCTTTCCATACCTCCAGCCTTTCCCAAACCTACCTGCTCCAGCATCATTCTGTAACAGACAAGTTAGAAATAATTTCTGTGGTCCAGATTACATTAACATTTTAGAATTTTGCTGTATTTGTTTAGATTTCCAGAATTTTATCTTGATCAGCATGGTGCATTCAGTGTATGTTCCTGACCAGAACTGGAACAACTAATCTCTTTTAGTGATATGTCGATTACCAGATGGTGTAGGTGTATACAAATATTGCAGAATAACTAATTGACTTGGTAATAACAAAAGCCGTTTTAAGAGTAAGAAGTTAGTGTTAGAGCCCATCACCTCTCAGTCTGAGACTAGGTTCACAGAGGATCTTAGATGTTGCATAACATTGTCAACTTGGTAGGTGGTAGGCTTTCAGTGGAAGTCACAAACCTGAAATAAGCAGTAGGCTCCCTTCTCCATGCATGAGAACTGGCATCTTAGAGCCAACACATTGCACGGAGCACTGCCTACAGAACATGTTCACCTCGTTGTTGCCATTTCCTGTATCTACCTGTACCTGAGATAGACAGGAAGTGCCTATTTTATGAGTATACCAGAATAAACCAGGACTTCCCTGTGAGCTGCATTCACACCTACTAAGTCTTACCAGACTGAAGTGACCACACCTGGTACCAGAAGTGAATGTACTTTTTTTTTTTTTACTTAACTAGCCTTTGGTGTTTAGGTACTAAAAGATGAAGTGGATATTCTATCAATGGCAGTGGTACTCACATGTTGGAATTTAGCGCCTGAATCCCCTATGTAACTGTAGTCCCAACGCTTTGGAATAACAATCATTTATCATAGGTAAAATAAAATTTCAGGGACTATGTATCAAAAATCAGCATTAAAACAGGAACATAGTTTTAAACTTTACTATAGTCCCACTGTTGCCTGATAACAACTTCATGATGTTTCAGCAACAGTATTTCTTGGAACATTGCTTTCTGAAAGAAAAAAAAAAATTACCATATTATTCATTGAACAGGATACCCCTGTATTTTTCACACACAGCAAACACTGAAAGACAAAGATTTTCTGTAGTGTAATATAAAGTATTTATTATTACAGTATTTATAATATTACATGCTGGGTAAGCTATTAAATATTGTAGCAGAACCCACCTATATTTAAAATGCTTTTCTACTTGATTTTAATGAAAATAAGCCACCATTGATTATGTTCATTTACCCCAGAAGAGTCATAGAAATTAGTGGAAAACAAAAAAACCTGCCTGGACGATGTCCGGTGCAACCTGCTCTGGGTGAGCCTGCTTGAGCAGGGGAGTTGGACTGGGTGATCTCCAGAGGGCCCTTCCCACCCCTGCCATTCTGTGATTCTGTGATAACATGGCATTTACATAATTTCTTTCACTGTAAAAAGGGAAAAAAAAACCACCCCAAAACTAAGCCAAACCCCATTTCTCCTCCTGAAGGCTTGATTTACTTCCACTTTTGCTGCTCTTCATACTTCATTGTTAGAGCATTCACTCCAGCTATCCTTCCCCTACTGCCTCAACACCACCATCCACATCAGTGTCTCATATAATTAGTTCTGACTTGGGTTTATCTTTGGGCTTCCTTCACTTCTTCAGCCATTACTCAAATGTTCATAAAATCATAGAATGGTTTGAGTTGGAAAGGACCTTTAAAGATCATCTAGTCCAACCCCACCCACCTTGGGCAGGGACATCTTTCACTACATCAGGTTGTGCAAAGCCCTGTCCAACCTCACCTTGAACACTTCCAATGCTGGGGCATCCACAGCTTGTCTGGGCAACCTGGTCCAGTGTATCACCACCCTCACTGTAAAAAGTTTCTTCCTTATGTCCAATCTAATCCTGCCCTCTTTCAGTTTAAAACCATTGCCTGTCACTACAGGCCTTGGCAAAAAGTCTTTCCCCATGATTCTTGCAAGTCCCCTTAAGTATTGAAAGGCTGCCATAAGGTCTTCCCAGAGCCTTCTCTTCTCCAGACTGAACAACCCCAACTCTCTCAGCTTTTATTCATAGCAGAGGTGTTCCAGCCCTTGGACCACTTTCATGTCCCTCCTCTGGACCTGCCCTAACTGGTCCGTGTCTTTCTTGTACTGGGAACCCCAGAGCTGGACGCAGTACTGCAGGTGGGGTCACATGGGAGCCAAGCAGAGGAGGAGAATCACCTCCCTCAACCTGCTGGCCACGCTTCCTTTTGTTGCAGCCCAGGATATGCTTGTCTCATATCCAATTTTTCATCCACCAGTACCCTCAATCCCTTCATCCCCCAGCCTGTATTGATACTGGGGGTTGCCCTGACCCAGGTGCAGAATCTTGCACTTGGCCTTGTTGAACCTCATGAGGGACACCTGGGCCCACTTCTCAAGCTTGTCCAGGTCCCACTGAATGGCATGCCATCCCTCAGGCATGTCAACTGCACCACTCAGCTTGGTGTCATCTGCAAATTTGCTGAGGGTGCACTTGATCCCACTGCCCACAAGGGAAGTGCAGCTTTTTTCTTTTTGGTCTTATTGCACATACCAAAAGACATTAAAACTACTATCTTTCCTTTTCCCTGTACAACTAAAGATTTTTCATCAGCTTTTTTTTTATTTGCTTGATTATTGCACCATTTCCTCATTTTTCAAGTACTACTATTTCCCCATTTTAATGCATTCAAAATATGGCTCCTAAAACATCACTGTCCTTTATTATTAGCATATCAGCTACACTGATCCTTCACTTGCTCTTCCTCCTCTGTAATTATTCTTGAATGTGATCGTTCTGTGTATGTGGTGCAGCATGCAACAGCACTTGACTATGCTCCAGCAAAAAACCTCAGTCTGTTAGCTTATGTGCTAACAGCTTGTCTGCACACCCACAATGGAGCTCAAAAAGACAATGGCAGGATGAGGAGTCCAAATTAATACTTTGCCAAGCTACTCCCTCACCCATTCACAGAAGCCATCAACCCATCAATGCCCCATCTACACAGGCTCAGAGGAGCACAGGGATGCACTATGGCAGGTGGGAACCCAAATCAAGGGCTTCTCAACACCTTGTCTGGACCTCTGCCAGGGCTGTCCCCTGCAAAACCATCAGCCCCATTGTCCAGGCATGAAACTCATCACAATGAGTCATCAGGATTTCTCTGGATCACCTTTCGGACTAATGTGTGGGGTGTGTGGGGGTGGTTGGGGATGAGGGGGTGGCAGGGTGGAGGTTGCTGCCTAGAGGTTCTACACATTATGAGATGCAGGGATAAGCCATCTGGGATCAACAGGACTTATGGGATGTTTAGGGTAGGAACCAAAAGCAGGAAAAGAGAGGGGTTTAGGTGATTTCGGGAGGAAATAGGGGGAAATAGCGGTTAAGAGGTATAAAACGGCCAGTCTGGTGTAAATAGCTGGCTGGTCAATAAGCCTGTCTGGCCATGCCCTGCAACTGATCAATGCAGTTTGCTCTATCTTCTTATTAAATTCCTTTCTCTTTCCTGGAAGAGAGGCTGTCTATTCTGCATGTGTTTGTACGCAGGTGTGAGTGCCAGCAACTGGAGCGAGATCACAGGTCAGCAGGCCCGTGTGTTCATGGTGCGGGCAACAGAAGGGAGTGCAGGTGTGCAAGCGAGCACGTGATCGCTAGCAGAGATCAAGCCAGACTAGTCAGTGAATAGATCAAGTGGCCTGAGAGCTAGGGGGTGAGTGGGTCTCTAAGGGCCAGCTCTGGTTGTAAGAGCACCTGGGTATCTCCAGGGGCAAGAAGACTGGGGGTGGGTGGGGGGAAGTCAGCTAAGGGACCTGCAAAGTCCTGGCGAGTTTTTGGTCTGCATAGTCTGTACCAGCAACTGCAGTAGGGCTGCAGCCTTGGGGGCTTATAGAATCACAGAATCATTTAGGCTGGAAAAGACCTTTAAGATCATAGAGTCCAATCATTAACCTAGCACTGCCAAGTCCACCACTAAACCGTGTCTCTAAGCACGACATCCACACATGTTTTAAATACCTCCAGGGATGGGGACTCAACCCCTTCCCTGGGCAGCCCCTTCCAGTGCCTGACAGCTCTTGCGAGGAAGGAATTGTTCCCAATGTCCAACCTAACCCTGCCCTGGCACAACTTGAGGCTGTTTCCCCTCATCCCATCGCCCGTTCCCTGGGAGCTGAGCCTGACCCCCCGCCCCCGGCTCCCCCCTCCTCTCAGGCAGTTGTAGGGAGCGATGAGGGGTCCCCTCAGCCTCCCG